GAAGCAGAAACAGTGCTAAACAGTGCTGTCCCTTTTTCTGCGCTCTGTGTACAAGTAAGCAAAAAGCAGACTGCATATATGAATATGCATGGAACTCCTCCCTGCCAGTTCTGACTCTGACATTCCTTGGCAGAGTGATCCTGAACAAGATCTACAACCTTGAGAAGGGCCCATTCTTCATCTAGAGCTGGTAGGAACCACCTCACAAACACAGGGCTAGTAAGAATACTCATGGAGCACTCAGCACTCTGTGGGGTACACACACCTCTGCCAGGAGGCTCCACGTCACCTTCAGAGCCTCCCTCCACATCTGTTTTCCACCTGTTGTTCAGCATTTCCTTCCCTGTGACATCCCATGACCCTCTGACGGATAACTTATGTGTTGCTCTTTCCTTCTTCCCCTCCTCTCCTTCCCTCTCAAGAACCTTCCCAGGAAGCTCCTTTTATCACTCCCCTCCCCAAGACTCCTGTTGAGACACATCAACCACAACCCCAAGTGTGAACTGCACTTGGTTACAATGACACAGCTCCACACTGCAGGTGTCTAGTGCTGGATACAGCCATCTCTCCAACCCAGCCACTTACATGGTACTTGGCAGAAAAAATTTGAATTATAATCGAGTTTTATAATTCAAAACACTCATGTGGGTTTCTACATGAGCAGAAATGCTATTAGAACACCAAGCTGGACTTGTTCCTGGAGCCCTCAGACTCTAGAACTTCCTATGTCCTTTATGTCACAGCAACAGAAAGGCTCCCAATTCCCCATCAACATCTGCACTGCAGCTTACTCACTCTCTACCCCTGGTGCTGACATAACTAAGTGTCTCACTCACCTGTGGCCTGTGATCCCCTCACTTGGGTCTTCTGCTGTGATTCCACACCCAGAATTGCACCTGACACAAGCCTGACCAAGACCTGTTAAGGAGCTGGAGGGACCTGCAGACACCACCAACTTCTGTGACTGCTCACAGCGCCCAGCCTCCTCTGCACATCCCCATCCCACCACCCTTTCTAAAGGAGGCCTCCCTGGGCAATCCCGCCCCAAATGCCTTTTTTCTCTTCTGAATGTCACCAATCCTTACCGCCTATGCTCTAGACTAGCAATTTCTTTTTAGGCTGCCTGGAACTAAGTTCTCTTTGCATACGGAGTTTTTACCTTCCTAGACTCACTACAGGTCTCCTTTAGAGGCTTCGATTATTCAGCACCTTTGAGCAAGGATTTCAAATACATGCAATTTCAAAATACCCGAGTGACTTCACAGTACCAAGGTTTTTCATTTGAGCTACTCTACAGACAAATGAAATATTTTCTTTTTAAGCTAATCTTAATTTAAGTGCTTTATAGTAACTAAAAGTCACTGTTGATACACTCAGGGCTATTTAAGGTTTTTATGAAGGGTTATATGACCCTTTTAAGTGATCTTAAGGAACTACACCTGAAAGCCCAATAGTGAAGAAGACAAGTTTATAACAAAACTAGCAATGAACTGTCTTTTTCACCATTAGGCCTATGAAGTACAAAACTTCTTGCACTATTAAAAACACTTCTTTCCTTCTAATTTGCTAGGAACAGTGAAGTCAGTAGATGAGAACTGGCCTCTAGGAGGGGAGGGTCAGCAAAGCCAGACTCCAGTTCCAGCATGGGGAAGACCATGGAGAAGAGACCTGGGACTTATGGTTCATAAATACTCACCGATTAAAGGAGTTGCAAACTGAGTAGTTTCTTGGCAAAAAGCATGCCAGCCACCCTGAGACATGGCATTTACAGTTACCAAGACCCCGCATGCTTCACAAAGTTCATTCCCTTCCACTATCTCGCAAGCCATTGAGGACAGCCTTGTGAAGTTAGATAGTGTAAGTAACATCACTATTCTGACATCCATTTTTAAGCCCTGGGGAGAACTGCACCACACCTAATAGAAATCTAGTGTCCACATTTCTATTTCCTTCCATCAAACCCATCTGTGGAAAGCCACTGTTGTTTCTTCCAGACAGAAGGACCTCTATCACGTACGGATCTCACACAGCCAAGCGAGAGCAGGCAACACACGCCACTGCACTTCAGAAGTGTGTGCACCAAGAGCCCTGGCTTGTTACTAACAGGCAAATTTAATCTCTCATTTCTTATAGTCATAAATAGGAGCAGGACAGAGATCAAGAAGATGACAGAAACTTGTAAATGTGGCCTTTACTATACTACTTTATAGATTATAATCTTCCTATGGTTCACACTTAGAAAGCCTGAACCCCAACACCACCCCCTCCCTGACAAGAAACTTCTCACATTTAACCTTACAGGGCTACTCAGACATGAATAAAGTCAAACAGAAATGTGAAGCTGAGAATCCAAAATAAATCCAAGTCAAAAATGCCTGGTGTATGTACTTCTGTAGCCCATGGCAGAACTGCATGCTCTTTGGTCAGAGACAATATCAACTGTGTTCTCACAGCACTGTGTTCTTTCCTTCTCTACACAATGTTTGTATGAGTCTTTGACAATCAAGGAATATTTATTGAGGGCCTACTACCTGTCAACCAACCATTTAGGCGCTGATCAGTGAGTGACTTAGTGATGTGCTACTGTCCCCCCACCAGCCTGGACTGTAGGCACCAAGGGAAGACTTACTGCTGCCTTTTTGATCAGTGTGCTATGCAACCTAACCGAGTGCCTGGCACATGGCAGGGACTTAATAAACATTAGTTGAATGTGAGAGAGGAGAGAGAAGGAGCCAGTTTGTGTGTGTAAAGGCATTAGGGCTTTTCAACTGCCCAAACAGGCCTTACCATCCACCAGAAATCTGATGACTTCTGAAAGGCCCACATGCCATGCACAGCTGTAGGCACAGCAGCTGTCATGCAAAGTAGCCAAGGTCCAGAACTAGGAAGAAGAATTCAGCCCTTTGTTTCTCTCTGCCTTTCTCATAACCAAAATGAGGTTAGACCCAATGTCAATCTTCCTGTCAGCTGTATGTCTTCAACATCTGGCTTTCAGAAATACTAAGGTAACATTATCTCTGAGTAAAATTTGCACTGATTCACTCTCTCACATCACTGCCTGAAAAGATATTATTTAAATGTCTGAGGTCACACATAGGCCTAAATAGAACTGAGTTAATATAAAAAGCTCTCCATTTCAGGTCTTTGCAAGCTATAAATTAGCTTTCAGAGTATTTAATTTAAAAATAAAAAAAGGTTTGACTCATTATTTAAACTCTCCAAACTTTTAGGTCACAGACAGCAACCAGACCTCTTTTATGAGTAAGCTGTCCAAAGCAGATGGTACGCTCCAAGCCTGAGCTTCATGCTAGTCCTTTAATTAAAACCTAGGATTCAGTGGGTTATATGCTTCTCACAGTAGTTATGTGAACAATAATGGGATAAGAAAAAATACCAACTATTTAGCTCAATACGAAAAACAACAATCTAGGCATGAAATATATAAATTCATCTATCAACTAATAAAACAAACAGTTTACATTCAGGTTTTTCCTCTATATCCAATTAAATGGACACAACAATAAAAGATAAATAAGAAAACAAAAGAGTAGTGAAATACATTCTGAAAATGCACAAACTATGCCAAACAGAAAAGCCTTAGGGTGAGGTTGCTATTAAGCTACGAATGTTTAAATACATAAATATGCTTAGTAGCACAGTAATGAGTCCCCACTTCCCAATCTCCAGCCCATACAAATCACAACTCTTGTGGAAAGGCTGATAACATAAATTATAAATAAAATACATACTAAATAAAGGAGCAAATAAAATTTTGTGAAGAGTTTGCCAACAATCAAGCACTAAGCTTAATATCAAAAAAATCCCAATACATGGTTAAAACAATTAAAATAAGACCTGGAATTTTCTAAACTCCGATCATCTGATTCAGAATCAAAGTATTTAATGACCTTCAGTGTAGTCAGCACAAGGCCCACCAACTAGCCGGCCCTTAGGGAATTAGTTATGTTTCCATTATGCGGCGAAATACAAAGAACGAGTAATTGAAAAATCAGAATGGTCTTCTTGCCTACATTTTTTAAATATTAATTTTAAAATCTTCCAAAAGCAAGTACTTTATGCTTTTATTTACAGCTGGACTTCATACTTTGCAATGTTCTGGACAAAGAACAGATTCATTTGTTGGGATGATTACAAAAAGTTACTTAAGACCTAAGATTGGCTAATAATAATAATGTACTTGTATTAATTTTAAAAAATAAGTAAACAAAAACAAAACAACAACAAAAAAAAAACTACCAGACCGTGCCTTGGCACATATTCAAACTGGGCTCTATAAAAGACTCCCAAATTCACACTAAAATTCTTCATTTAAAAAGAAAATTCCAACAACGTATCAGCATGCCAGCTGGAAATATGATATAGCCGACCAAACTATTTTCCTACCCAGAAATTTAACCCTCCTTTGTAAATGCAACTACACTTTACCTTTTGTTCAAAAACATCATAAATCATAAAACTATGAGAAGTGACTCAAAACGACAAAGCAGCAACCGCCCCCCCAACTTGCACGCCGCCCGCAGCATCCTTCGGGGAGTCCCTGCCCTCCGGGCCCGGCCTCTCCCCTCCCGGCCGGCGCTTCCCTCCCCCCTCGCTGTCTCCTCCCGGTCTCTCCGCTGTCCGCGGAGCGGGCTGTCAGCCGCGGCCGGAAGGCGGAGGCCGCCCGTCGAGCGCGGCGCGGCCCGACTCTGACGTCCGCTGGGCAGAGCCCGCACCCGGCCGCGCCGCGCACTTTCGCCGCGCGAGCGCTCAGGCACAAGTTAGCAAACAGCCCGAGCGGCAGCCGCCGTGATTCAGCAGCGGGGCCGGCGGTGATCGCGGGCCGGCCGGGCCGAGTCCGAAAAAGGTCATCAAGACACAGCGGGCGCCGCGCCCGGCCCGCGATCCAACCCGCGACCCGGCAGGCGGCAGCGAGACGGCTGCTGCTTGCGGGCCGGGCCGGGCGAGGGCAGCCAGCCGGCCGGCCGGCCGGCAGGTCCTACCTTTCCGGCTCTTGGGGGAGCTCCGCTTGCTCCGGGCGCTGGCTCGCTCTTCCTCAATCGCAGCTGCTATCTCGGGGTTGTCTTCCCCATTGTACCAGACCAGGAGCTCCTCGCCCGGCGCGATTGGCTGTGGGGAGAGAAGAGACAAGCGCCGGGCCAATCAGAGAAGAGGTTGTTGGCAGAGGCGGGGCAACGCCGCGGCGGGCGGGAGCGGCACGCTGATGGCAAACAGCTGTCGGGCGGGCGCGCCACCGGCCGCGCGCGCTGAGGTGGGGCGGGGGAGGTGGCTCCACGAAGGAGGGGGCGCTTCCGGGAGGAGGAGCTCACGGCCGCGCGCGAGGAAGGGGCACGGCCAGGAAGAGGAGTCTATAAAACGGCCGCGCGCAGAGGTTCCTATGCTGGGAGGCGATCGTGGCCGCGCGCGCGGGGCTCCTACCGAGGAGGAGGGGTTCACGGCCGCGCGCCCTGCCAAGAGGAGGCTCCCTCGGTCACGCGCAAGGGGCTCCGCAGGTGAGAGAAGCCCAGGGCCCAGGGCCCAGGGCCACAGGCTGGATGGAAGATAGACCTGCCGCGGATCGCGGAGGCTCTCACTCAATCCCCAGGCGCTTCCACATCTTTCTGCTCCAGTCCCCGAATCCCCCACGCGAAGAGAAGACACAACACGGAACCTCTTTCCGCACAAAATCCGAGTGAATGAGAAATTTAAAGCACAATTAACAAGCAGGTGGCAGCACATGATTTTGATTCCAAAAGCAAGCGAAGCCTGGTGTCGCGCTGCAAGTGTACCCCTGCCCCGCTGCTCACGTCGCAGAAAGCTAAGAGGAGGCAGCGCAGGACCGTGCGCCGCTCTCCTCGGGTCAGCGAAAGGGAATTACGACTTTTAAACAGAACGAAAGCCTACAAATACCACCCAGGTATAATGTTCCTAAAACTCAGAATTCTTCACGGTCAGTGTGACTGGGAGAGCAAGGACACACCAGTAGATTACACCTACAAGACCCTAGGGGCGCGGGGTGCTGAGTGGAGAGATGAGCCTCTAAACAGAACTGAGGAAAAGAGCTTCTTGGTTTCTCTCTCACGGACTGACCTGATCAAAAAGTTGCAAGAATAACAATGCAGGTAAAATTCCATCTGAAACCCACTGAATAAATAAGAATTCATGACTCAATACTAACATAAATGACTGAACAAGTAGATACATACAAAGGAAAATTCTTCCTTAAAGTCCATCACAAGGGATCATAGTGAAAAGAGAATCAGAAACTGCCCCTTGGCAATGTTCGTTGTAACAACTGATTCAGGGAAGACTCACCAATGGTGAAAGTTTAAGGAGTAGCACAATTTGCATAGGCTCAAAATATCTCCTAACAAAATATCTATTAATTACAAGGGGAAAATTGTGTTTTCCTAATGTGACAAATGAATATCACATACCTCTTGGAAGGATACACAAAGAACATGACATATTGCTTTTGGGAAGATTTCTGCCCAAAAGACATAAATGGAATTTAATCATGATGAAACCAAAGACATTCTATAAAATAGCCATTTCTCCTTGAAACTGAAAAGTTAGCAAAGACTAAGGTATTGTCCAAGCTAAGGAAACTTGATATGATAACTGAATACAACAGTATTCTTACAATGAAAACAAGTAGAACAGTTGACAACATTTGAGTCAGGAGGACGGATTAAGATATTGTTTCAATGCTAGCTTCCTGATTTTGATCATTGCACTATGGTTATGTAAGAGAATAATCCAGGTATTCTGTTTTGCTTTGTCTTTTTTTTTAAGGGGAGGGAAATTCCATCTAAGATGTCAACAAATAACTCCTCATGCGAATATAACTTCTAGTATAGATAAAGTCCTTAAAAACAAGTTACTATTAAAAAAGATAGTGCACCATAATCAAGTGGTATTCATCCCAGGAATGCAAGGTTAGTTCAATATACAGAAATTGATAAACATAATTCATCACATCAATAGACTTAAAGAATCATATGCTTATCTCGAAAGATGCAGAAAAAGCATGACAAAATACAGCAGCCATTCATGCTCAAAACACTAGAAAAGCCAGGGATAGCAGGAATATACCTCAACATTGTAAAAGCTATATATTTAAACCTAAAGCCAACATCATTCTAAATGGAGAAAAATTGAAAACCTTCCCTCTAAAAACTAGACAAAGATGCCCTCTTTCACCATTTCTATTCAACATAGTCCTTGAAAGTCTAGCCAGAGCAATTAGACAGAAGAAAGAAATTAAAAGGATAATAAAAGGAAAAGAAGAACTCAGACTATCCCTATTTGCCAAAGACATGATTCTATATTTAGAAAACCCAAAAAACTCCACCAGAAAACTTATTAACGAATTCAGCAAAGTAGCAGGACATAAAATTAAAACCAAAAATCAAATTGCACTCCAATACATCAGTGATGAATCAACTGAAATGAAAGGGAAATTAGAAAAACTATCCCATTCACAATAGCCTCAAAAAAATAAAACATTTGAGACAATCTAACAAAAGAGATGAAATACCTCTACAATGAAAATTACAGATCACTAAAGAAACTGAAGAAAACCCTGGAAGATGGGAAGATCTCCCACATTCCTGAATAGGCAGAATTAATACTGTCAAAATGGCCAGACTACCAGAAGCACTATATAGATTCAATGCAATTCCTATTAAAATTCCAATGACATTCTTTATAGAAATAGAAAAAGCAGTCACGAAATTCATTTGGGAAAATAAGAGGCCCAGAATAGCCAGAGCAATCCTTAGTGAGAAAAGCAAAGCAGGAGGCATCACAATAGCAGACCTTAAGTTATAATACAGAGTAACAAAAACATGGTATTGGCACCAAAATAGACATGAAGACCAATGGTACAAAACAGAAGACACAGAGACAAACCCACATAAATACAGTTACATCATATTAGACAAAGGTGCCATAAACATACATTGGAGAAAAGACAGCCTATTTCAACAAATGGTGCTGAGGAAACTGGAAATTCATATAACAAAATGAAATTAAACCCCTCTCACCCTGCATAAAACAAAACTCAAAGTGAATCAAGGACCAAACTCAACTCAAAGTGAATCAAGGCATTAATTAGACCAGAGATACCCCACCCACTAGAAGAAAAAGTAGGCCCAAATCTTCATCATGTCGGCTTAGGAACTGACTTCCTTAACAAGACTCCTAAAGCACAAGAAGTAAAATCAATAAATGGATCCAGGCGAGGTGGCACACACCCGTAATCTCAGTGGCTTAGGAGGCTGAGCCAGGAGGATTGTGAGTTCAAAGCCAGCCTCAGCAACAGTGAGGTGTTAAGCAACTCAGTGAGACCCTGTCTCTAAATAAAATACAAAATAGAGCTGGGGATGTGGCTCAGTGGCCAAGTGCCCCTGAGTTCAATACCTGGTACCAAAAAAAAAAAAAAAAAAAATCTCCAGGATAGATAAAGAACTCAAAAAACTTAACAACAACAACAACAAAAAAAAAAACACATAGAAAAATCAATAAATGGGCAAAGGAACTGAACAGACACTTCACAGAAGAAACAAATATATGAAATATCGGTCAACAAATATGTGAAAAAACGTTCAACAATTCTAGCAATTAGAGAAATGCAAATTAAAATTAATTCACTGGCATTCCATTCACTCTAGTCAGAATGGCAATTATCAAGAATATGAGTAATGAGAGCTGGGGCTCAGTGGCAGAGCACTTACCTAGCATGTGTGAGGCACTGGGTTCAATCCTCAGCATCTCATAAGAAGATAAATAAATAAAGTAAAATAAAGGTATCGTGTCCATCTACAACTAAAAAAATTAATAAAAAAAAAATACAAGTAATGATAAATGTTAGTGAGGATGTGAGGAAAAGCGTACACTCATACATTGCTGACTGGACTGCAAATTGATGCAACCACTCTGAAAAGCAGTATGGAGATTCCTCAAAAACCATGAAATGGAACCACCATTTGATCCAGTTATCTATCCCACTCCTTGGCATATACCCAAAGGATTTAAAATCAGCATACTATAGTGACACTGCCACATCAATGTTTATAGCAGCTCAATTCACAATAGCTAAACCATGGAACCAACCTAGGTGCCCTTCAATAGATGAATGAGTTTAGAAAATGTGGTATATATACACAATGGAATATTACTGAGTCATAAAGAAGAATGAAATTATGGCATTTGTCAGTAAATGGAGACTACCATGATAAGTGAAATAAGTCAATTCCAAAAAACCAAAGGCCAAATATTCCTTCTGATACACAGATGCTAACTCACAATGAGGGGTGGGGATAGAAGTTCACTGGATTAGACAAAGGGGAATAAAGGGAAGGAAAGGGAGGGAGGAGAGGAATAGGAAAGACAAAAGTAGGATGAATCAGACATGACTTTCTTATGTTCATATATGAACATACAACCAGCGTAACTCCATATCATGTACAAACACAAGAATGGAAATTTATACTCCATGTATGTATATCAAAATATATTCTGTCATGAATAACTAAAAAGAAAACAAGCAAATGTTACTTTGTTGCATTCTCTACAGAATTCTGTTTATATAGTTCAAATTTCAAAATAGTCTAAATTCTTCAAAATATAAGAACCAGCCACTGTTTCTTTGGCTCCCCCAAGAATGGCTTAAAATCTGCCACTTTCTTATCTTTGAATCAATATATTGTGTGAGGCACTGGCAGTGTTCACTTTTCTTTTTTCATGAATCAGTTAAACCTAAACCAAAAAATCTAATTTAATAATCACAAATGCCTTTGGGCACCCTAATGAGCTAATGGGTTGTGTTTACTTTTCAAAAGTAAATTCCAAACATACTTCATTTATCTTCTTGTTACAAGTCACAAATTTATGAACATGGTGGTATTAAATAATATTTGAAATGCCTAGGGTTCTAGGAAGTAGTTAATTGTTAAACAAAATCAAAAGTAAAACAAGAACACAGAAAGGAGGAGTGAGGACAACTGTGTTCTTGACATATTCCTCCCCCAAAACAGAGTAACCAGGACCCTGGTTGAAAGCTGACAGTTTCGGGGGATCACCAGGAATAAGAGTGCCTGCCTCCAAGGCTCCTCCACAGGGCCTGGGCAGACTGCCTGCTGCACTGGCTACTTCACGGGGGAGCACGCCGGTACCCCCAGTTACTCTTGTTGCTGCAAAACACGCAATATGAAAACACCAGAATCCTATTGCACCTCAAATCTAATACAAAATTTTTAAAAGGCTATTGGGCTGGTGAAGCGCTTCCATCAAGAGAAACAACAACCTGATTACAGAATAGCTCTCAAAACTGTCTGAACAACTGAGATGTTATTATACTATGGAGCAATATACTTCCCAACTTTGTATTAAAGCAGCTACACAGCATTCCCTTATGAAGAAGGGAATATATATATATATATATATATATATATATATATATATATTTTAAATCAAGCATTGTTTTCTTCTGTACTATGCTGTTTTCATTTCTGCACTCCTTAGTATTTTCAAGATTTACACAAAGTTCTATCATTATAAGTACAAATCCACATTTTTAAAAAATGAAGTTGAAAGACCAACCAACCTTTTTACATACAATTATGCTTCATTTAAGGATGAGATACCTTCTGAGAAATGTGCCATCACGCAATTCCACTGCGGTTCAAACCTCACAGAGTGTGCTCACACAAACTCAGGCACTGTGAGGTCACTGACTAATGCAATCTTATGGAACCCCCATCGTATGGCGGTGCATGATTGTACTGTATTTTGTTGTTAAAGAAAAAATTAAAACAACAAGACTTCAAACCCTTGCAACTTTTCCTTTGGATTCAGGCAGTCTTTATAAAATCAAGCACTCTCTCTTTTCTAAACATCGGCATATATAAACCTGAAATTTACCAGACCAATTAGGAAGAAGCAAGGGTCCCTAATATTCCTGATGCTAGATCAAATAAGAAAACTGCTCCAGAATCATTGGAATACCCAAATTCATACACACTTATCCACCCAAAATCCATTCCCCAACATGATCTATAAAAGTCATGAATCAGATCTCAACCTCAAACCTTGAACGAGTGAACTGAGCCTAAGACTAAAACTCATACTTCTCTCGCTGTGAGTTATGAGGCCCCACCTGATCTGGCCCCTGCCCACATCACCTCCTACTATTCCTCTCCTTCCTCCAGTCACATCAGCCTTTGTTCTGTTCCTCTAAAAAAACAAAAACAAAAAACAAAAAACAAAACTACTAGTGTATTTCTCCTTCAAGGCCCTTTGCTTCTACCAGCCCCTCTTCCTGGATGGCTCTCCTCCAGATCTTTGTGTGGCTGTTTCCTTTCTAACCAGGGATGGAATTCATTGTCTTTCTCAGGAAGCCTTCCCTCGCCCGGAAGCCAATCAGCCTCTCCCTACACAGTCCTCCACAGCATCTGCCTGTCCTCAGAGCACTTGCTTCGATCTGGAATGATTCTATAGACTTAATTATTTGTTTATCTGCCTCCTCCCCCATAAAATGGAAGTTCTCTGACACTAGGACCTTGTCTGTTCTTCCCACTACCCTAGAAGAGTACCCGTCTGCAGTGCACACTCAGTATCTGTCAAACTACTGAGTAGATGAATAAATGGATAATAGGCTTGTTAACTTTGAATAATTTTTAATCAAAGTACCACAAAACTAGTGTTGAGATTTCCCAATTATCTGGGTAGAATAAGATGAGAAGGTGATACAAAGCCCATAAAACATCACACGTAATTCATTCCCCACAGAATGCTTAATCCAGTTAGACGACCACCAGTAAGGAATCTGAAAGGCCTCATGAACACTTGAGTAAATATCAAAGGTCAGGACTGGGGGAGGTCTGCAAAGATCAGAACTGTGTTATTTCTGACAAATTTAGGTAAAAATGATAGTAGCACAACTAGTTACTTCGCATTCTGAGTAATTATGTTGGCCTAGCTACTACATATTGGATTGCTTCATCTTTACAACAGGTATATGAATTAGTATTGCAGGTTGAGTATCCCTAATCCAAAAATCTGAAATCCAAAATGCTCCCAAAAGGGAATCTTTTAGGGTGCCATCATGATACCACAAGTGGAAAGTTCCACACCTGACACCTCATGTGACAGGTCATAGTCAAAAGGCAAGCACACTAAAAATATTGTATAAAACCACCTTCTGTTTATGTGTATATGTGTATATGAAACAAATGAATTTTACGTTTAGAAGCATGAAAATGGGGGTCCCATCCCCAGGTTATGCAGATATATACAGATACTCCAAAATTCAAAAATATCTGAAATTCAAAACACTATTAGTCCCAAGCATTTCAGACAAGGAATACTCAACCTGTACTACTACCTCCATCTTGACGAGTGAGAAAACTAAGAGGAATGAAGGAACACCGCATGCCACACGTCTAGAAGCCAACATTTGCTCACTAGGTGGTTTGCTCTAGAATTCCCACTCCTGGCACACACCACATCACCTCAGCAAAAACGACAGCTGTCATTAACAGCCCTTAGTTACTGGGTGCTCCAGCTGTATCCATGTTCACCCAGGTGCTCATCACCACAGCTCTGTGACCTGTATCTGACCAGGAGTGAGCTAGGGCACCAAGAAAGGACATGCGAAGGCCACAGAGCTAGGGCACCCTGGCTCGCCGTGCCCAGGCGGTGTGGCCTCAGAGTTCACCCTCCCACCCACTGCCCTGTGTGGCTTGTCAACATCCCTGCAGTCTAATGTCGCTGCAGGTCTGCTCTTGAAGAGAACAGACTTTAGTTTGAAGCCTAAACAAGTAACTGCAGGGTCGTCTACCTCCCAGGGCTCGTGTCCTTCAGAACCTCATTCCCACGGCCTTGACTGACTGACACACAGTCACCTCCTGGCCTACGTTCCATCTCCACCAAGATTCCACCTCACAGATTCAACCAGGTATCTCTCACTTAAGTAAATTTGTGAAACAGAATGAATTCTTGAATCACATTTAGAATCCAATTTCAAATCCAGTGGAACAAAACTGCAGTAATACCTACCAGAAAAGCATGCTGCTATAATCCAGCAGAAAGAAAACAGGAAGCAAGATTTCAGAAGTCACATAGGAGAAAGTAACACACACATACAATTCCTACAAGGGCTAAATGCAAGGCCATGGGTATAAATGAAGTAACAGGCCCTCCAACTGGGTAGCAATGTCAGGAAAAAATGTAGCAGAAAAAAAATTGAACGGTTACCTGCTTAATGGCCTAGCGCTGTCCCAGTGACAAAACTCGACGTGCAAAGCTGGCCTGTACCTTCAGTGTTTGCTCATCAAGACTTATCAACTCCATAGAGACAATTATTTTTATGGACTGTCCCTCAGTCTATGATATATTTAATGGAAGCAAGTGAATAAAAACAAGCTTTCCTTACAGCAACTTTAGCAAAGCCATCTATTCCAAACAAGCAACAACCATCGGCCTCTACAACCTCAACATTCCACCTTGGAACAATTCCATGCATGACGTGCAGACCTGTCTTCCCCAAGACCATGACCAGTGAAAACCAGGAAAGAGATGCAGTCTTGTTGGTGGCACACCTGACTTGCCCCTTCTTACCTCAGTGATTAATGTCTCCCAATAAAAATGTGGCAAAAAAAAACATGTTCTGTGTAATTTCTATTCTGAATAAAACTGAAGGAAAGGAAAAGCCAACCCAAGGCTTCATTGCTTCATTTACATTGAAGACTATGAACATATGAAGACTTTGAACCCAGCACCACCACAACTATTGATGGCTTCTTACAGTGGAATAAATCTGCCAGTCAGCCAGTTCCTGTGCGTCCTGGGAGGAGGGGAGCAGCTGCCCCACGCTTTATCCACAGTATCCAGAAAGACACAGCATGTGATTACTCAATCCCATCTTCGTGTTTAGTTAAGTTCCCTGGCATATATGAAGTAGAGGCAACCATTTCTTTACCATAGGACCTTGAGTGTACAAATGAACCACTTCAAATATAGTCCTTTCAAGGTCAGAAAAACAGTTATTGTCAGTCACAGCTAAGGACCACATTTAGAAAACGCATGCAGAGTCACTTGCAGTAGACTATTCCAACACTGTTACCTTTAAAGTTTTATAGTAAATGGCTCTGTTGATTTCCAGTGGAAACAAATTTTGCTCCTCTCCTGAGCAAGCCCAGTTCACATATCGCAGCCAGTTCCCCTTCTCCGGATCAGTGGCATCGATGCACATCCATCCCAAATTCGGGTAATATACCTTGGAAATGAGGGAAAACAACCCTTGTTAAGATAGAAGTACTTAAAAGTATCTCCATGTTCAACGTTTAAAACAAGTCTTCCTCATTACACACAACTACTCTATAAAGCATTTCACAGAAACAAAATAAGTGACAGAGAAAAGAAAAATACCAAGTAAAAACTGAAACTCAAAACCATGTGATTCCCATTATTTTTTTATTTGGGCTTGCTTACTTTTTCCCCTAAACAGAAGGAGCTATGTAACTAATATACTTGATGATCACCAAAAGCTTTGCAAATACATGCATAAAGGAAGTGACAACTACATTCCTGAAAATGTGACTTAGGACTGTGAAGCTTGAGGAGTGCTGAGCAGGGCAAATCCCCATACTCTCAGGGTTGCTCTGCCACTCAAGCAGGGGGTCCTGGCCCTGTGGGTGACCCAAGTCAGTGGGTCTTTTTCTGGCAGGATTGACAGGGACTTCAGGAAGTAAACACACTCTGTGAACCAATCACGAGGGTGATGGAGCATGATGCTCTGCAAACTCAGCCAGCTCTTACCACTCTATCCAGGGCTCCTGTCAGGACTAAGGTGCCATGGGTCACACTCTAGGAAATATCAATGCCTTCCAAAAACATACTGAAAACTCAGCCCTTCTTTGAGAAGTCACATCAAATCCACTCTTGCAGGAAGCGTCCCTGCAAGACCCTTAGACAATTGCTTCCAGAGAGGCTTCCAGCGCTTAGCTAACATTCCTTCTTGTATTTATTTATTTTTTGTGGAATACCAGGGATTGAACCCAGGGGCACTTAACCACTGAGTAACACCCCTTTCTGTATTTTATTTAGAGACAGGTTCTCACTGAGTTGTTCAGGGCCTCACTATATTGTTGAGGCTGGCTTTGAACTTGTGATCTTCCTGCCTCAGCCTCCTGAGCTGCTGGGATTACAGGCACGCACCACCACGCCTGGCAACATTCCTTGGTTTTAAAGAACATCTATTTTTCAACAATTTTTCACTTTAAATTTTATATATGCAATACATGTACACATTTTATTCACCAAAACTAAACTGCAAAACACCCACTAGGCACTGAAAGAGAAACGCAGAGAGATAAGAACAAGTTTTTTATTTTCCTTTTAGGAGGAAAGAAAAGAATCTACATGCCATAACTCTTACCATGACTCCCACCAGTTGCTCCTCCTCTCCTCTCCTGCCATGTGAATCACCACCCATAGCTGCACTGTTCCTTCCAGAACAAAGCACCAGCCCCTACCTGATGTCCTGGAGGCCTGGCAAACAGGGTGCAGCACCCACCCTCCTGGGCAACTGCCGGAGCTCATCAGGCACGACGCTCCGCTGCTCCCCGCTTCCTGCTTCCTCACTGAGCCCCAGGAGGCTCATTTACTACTACTTCTTCCACCAGTCAAATGACTTTCCTTTCAAAGTCACTCAACTGCGGCCAAGATGGGCTTAAATCCAGGTCTGCAGAACCTCCAAGACCCAGAGCCGCCCTACCACCCTCGTAAAAGTGCACCCCTCCCTCCCCTCAGCACCTAGTCTTTCCACCTCACTTTTCCTACCCTTCCAGGTGCTAGATGCAGTGCAGTATCATCTGTCGCTTCACTTCCTTGTTCAGGGCCTGTCTCTCCCACTAGAGCCTCAGCACCCTGAGAAGGCATCAGCCTTTTCTCTTGTGCCAGTGCCTCCAACACCTCAACCAGTGCCTGGCATACAGTAAGGTAACAATAAATGACCACCCGAGTGCATAACCATCACCATCCAATGAATGCCTACTGTGTGGTGGGAACTGTAGCAGAACCCCCTCTGCAGTCAGTTTATTTCATCATCATAAGCACCAAGGTGCATATTTTAACTGCCATCCCCCTGTGAGCTGATTCAAAACTTGACTGCTCAGAAAGCAACCACCTGCACCACTCTCAAGAGGTAACCATGTGGCATCAGGCTCCCTTGCACCTCACTGTCACACTCCCTCTCCACATTCCTCCCCTTTGAAACAGAGTAGCCTATGTGGCAAGAAACTGCATCACAATGCAAAATTCAAACTTAACACACTTTCATTTAAAATGTTTCAGAGACACACATGTTCATAATGTCTGCCGGCACGGTAAAATAAGGAAAATGGGGTGCGTGGTGCTTGAGTATTACCAATCCATCTTAGTTATTGTTCACTAACTCACAAGGCATTATTCCCCGGTATACCGGAGAGAAAATGGCCCAGGCTCAGGGACAAAGCCTTGTTTTGATGTATCCCAGTGCACGTCAGGGCCTCACTGGATCCCCACCTGCATACTGGCACAGCAACCGAGATAGATCAATGGGACTGCAGAGACAGGCATGGCTGCCAGCAATCCCACAGCGTGGAGGAAGGCAGCCACATCCACCTGCCCACACAATGCGGCTCTGCTGGAACTTCCTAGCTCTCAGGTCAGCACAGACCTTTGTGAAAAGCAAGCTGTTCCAGTTGAGTGAATTCTTTCTTTGTGCATAACTCCCTGTGCTTCAAAGGGGACTAAGGCATCTTCTAAGTCACACTGGTGTGCAAAAAGAAAATACTTAATTTTATAGAAAAAGATGGACACTTCAATTTTTTTAAAATAGGAAAACAAGGAATTCACAAAGGAATACACATAGCCTAAAAACCTCATAAAAGAAACTTAATAATCAAAAAAAATTTCAAATTAAAAGTTTTCATTTATTAAATTGGCAAAAATTATTTTTAAGAGGAAAAAACCATATTGGAAGGGTTGTATGAACACATTCTCCCAAGTGCTTACAATCAGAGAACAAACTGGTATAATTGTTTTGGGTGGAATTTTAGCAGCACTTAACCAAAAAAATCTTTCAATATATACACGCTCCAACCAGCATGCAAGCTTAGAGGAATTTATTTTAATGAGACAATTGAGCAACTGTACCAACACTTATGTATAAGGCTGTTCCCAGCAGTGTGGTTTACTACAAAACCATATGGAATCAGCTCAGAAAACTACAATCCATCCATACAAAAGAGTACTAAGAAGATACTTAAAAGTTATGTAAGTGATTAATTGGATTATTTCCTGTGAGCCACTGCTATACCCAAGAATTTTTTAATGTGATACATAATTTCTGTAACTAAAAGAAAATAAAGAATAAAGATAACAGGATATTGTAGAAATCTATTTATCAAGATACATAATACATTGATGACAGAATCAAGCTATTATAGAAAGAATCAATTACATGATATCATTTTGTCTTAAACATATAAATATGTAAGAAAAAATTCTTAAAACTTATTGAATAAAAACACAATAGTGGTTTTCTCTGAAAAGATAAATGAGTCATAATTTTTACTTTTTTCTTGTTTAATAAGAATTGTCTATACCTTTCCTCCATTGACTTAGTAGAAACTGCATGGCAAAAGAGGGAGATGGATCGGGAGGAGCACAAGCTCTTCTGAACAAAAGCCTAAGTCTGAATGAAGGTAACCAAGGCCTAAGTCAAAATCCTCCTCCTCATCATCACACAGATTTTAAAAAGCAGCAGTGCATACATAGCTTTCTCATTTTACTGAGCTTAATCTTTTTTTAATATTTATTTTTTAGTTACAGGTGGACACAATATCTTTATTTTATTTTTCTGTGGTGCAGAGGATGAAACCAAGTACCTCACGCATGCTAGGCGAGCGTTCTACCTCTGAGCCACAACCCCAGCCCCCCCTGAGCTTAATCTTATACCTAGGAACTGGGATGAGAATGTGCTCTTATACAATTCCCATCTTAGTAGGTCAAAGCCTGGTTTCCAATCAAATTAATTTTAATGAATGACAAACAGAACCTACCTCCAAAATGTGATCAAATTTTGCCTCATGTAACTACAGATTACTAGACTTCAAAAGTGTCATCCGCCATTAGGCTGGAAAACCAACTCCAATTTCCTCCTTTCAGACAAAGACAAGGCAAAAACAGGACAACCTTCTATCCTCACTTAAACCCACAAATGAAACAAGATAGGCTTCATGTAAGAAGTCTATTTCCAGATCTTTACAATAACCAGGAAATACTCAGCTTAAGATCCTAAGAGAAATGTTATTACATACAATTAATGATTTTTTTTCTGACTGAATCCACAAAACAATCCCTTTTCACAAAATAAAGTTCTGTTTATGTAGTATCAATGCCACTCTACCAAGCACCAGACTAGGGGCTTTATGTGTTATTTGTTTAACCTTCATAAGAATCTAAAGATAATCTATGAAATACTAAGTCCCTTTCATAAATGAGGAAACTGACAATGGATTGGCCACTATATTAATCAAGTCACTAAAATCAGAGACAGTGTTCAAACCTGGCCCCCTCATTTCTTCCTATACCCTACACTAAAATAAAACGGTATGTAAACAAGGGAATGGAGAGAAAGGTTCCCTTTTGTCTTGAGGGGCGCTCTCAATTTACTTCCTGTCTTCCCTCCTTACAGACCCCCTTGAGGTCTCTGACCTCCTATGTTATCTAGGCCTACCTCCTTTCTGCTTCCATCACTAATCAGGAAGCAGGCACCAACTTTGTGGAGTGTCAGTCTCATACCACCCAATTTCCATTCAATTTAATCCGGTCATTTTGAAATTATCATAAAATAATCTAAACTCAAACTTTAGTGCACATACCAATTTAAATACACATTCAAATTTATTTCTTTATATCATTTAGAGAAGATGTGCAGCAAACTTTATCATTTGTTACTTTTTAAGTGCATTAATTCACTTTGTAAATTTTAAAAATTCTCATTCATTTATGCAAACATACCATCATTCACATCTTCAACTGTTTACCTGCAAGGAACCAACTAACTGTGACAGAAATCACTCCCAGAATTTAAGGCAACAAATAAATCTTATATTGTATCAGCTCTCTTGGCGAAAGAGTCTGTTTTCATGGGAACCAGCTCCCCAGAGTCAGAGTCCACAATAGCAAAGCCATCTCCCTCCACTCTTCTCTGGACCCCTTGCAGCACAG